TGAAATACACTGCTGAGGGGAGCAGCGGGGAGACAGGAGAGGTCTGCTGCGCCATGTGGGTAACTCCCTGGCCCGGGATCGAACTCATGCCGCAGTGGCTGGCGATAGCTTCATAGAGCTGAGACTTAACCAGGGACCGCACAATTATATGTTTTTAAGGCTAACTAATTGGTAGTCTTGGTTCTGCTGAAATCTGTCCAGGGGTCTCCCTAATTTCCCTTTGACCCGGGTGTGGGGTGAACCTGCTCTCCGACAGCCCGAGGCTCCAGAGGGCGCCGCTCGCTGCTGTTGCCGCCGCCGCCCCAAGGGGGCAGTGGCGAGTCGGGGGCGCGGGCGGCGCGGAGGCGGCGGGGCAGGTCTGGGGGCGCCCGCGGCGCCGCGGACCCCCCGCCGCGGCCGCGCCCCCCCTCGAGCGCGCCCACCCCCTCCCGCGACACCCCCACCGCCAGACCGGGGGCTCCCGAGAGCCTCGGGATAGTAATAAAGCTTTGTCTTTAACTGACCTCGGGGGGCGTTAGCACAACAGGAGCTTCGTCTTTAAAAAAAAAAAAAGGCGTTAAAATTATTTTTATTTGTTGAAAATCCATACCAGTACAGCAGTCCATGAGGGTAGTCCTGATTGCTGGTGCGTGATTGGCGAACAGAAAATGAAAGCAAGGCGGCTCGAGTAATGACAGCTTGAACATCTACGCGAGTCCCCCCGGGGCGCGGGGGGCAGGCGCGCTCGGGAAGCCCACCTGTTCTGCTCGCTCCCAGCACCCACCTGTCGGGTCCGAAGAGGCCGGGTAAGCTGCAGGGAAGAAGCAGGCCCCAGGGCGCAGGGGTTTACATCAGGGGAGCCTTTGTCTTGCCCTGGTGAACCGGGCACCGCAGGGGGTGGGGAAGGCTCACCTGCAGCCTCTGCCCGGCACACCTGTGCCGCCCGCCTGCAGCCTCCCTCTGGAGCCGGGCAGGGACACCCGCCTGGCTCTCTGGCTCGGTAAACTTGGCCTGGAAGTGAGGGGTCACCTCAGTCACCTTCCATTCCCCAGAGCAACTCAGATGTTCACATCTGACCTCAAAGGTGGGGGAGAGGTGACTCCACCATGAGCCCCAGAAGCAGGTGGTGTGTTTGCAAGGTGGAAGACCCCGCTGTCATCCTGCCACCGCACTGCCTGAGGGGCTGCGCCCAGCGAGACAGCACGGAAAAGGATAGCGGTGTGTCACCCACAAAGAAGTCACACTAGTCATTAAGTCCACTTGTTTCTCTCTCTGGTCTCCACTGGGAAGGACAGGGGTCACGGAAGCTGGCAGAAGTCGGCAGAGTGTCCCAGCTCAGGCCAGGCCAGTCTGGCGCTGCCCCTGCCTGGGGCGCTCGCACAAGACTTCCCCAGCGGCGAAGGCTTCCCTGGGGAAGCTGGTGAAAGGCCCCCACTTGCAGTTATAAGACAATTACATTCCGGGGGTGTCAGGTACAGGTACAGCGACTACTGCCGACAGTATTGTGTCTTTGAAAGCTGCCAGTAAATCTTAGTTCTCATGAGAAGAGAAAAAAATGGTGACTGTAAGGTGACCGATAAAAATGGTGACTGTAAGGTGCTAAGGAAATGCGTGACCATCTCTCACTATGTACATGAAGCCCTTGTGTCGTACACCTGGGACTCAGGACAGCTGTTTTTTTTTTTTTTAAGATTTATTTATTTATGCATACGAGAGCTGGGGCACAGGCCAGAGGTGCGGGGAGGTGAGGACTCACGAGAGGCAGAGTGGGGAACAGAACAGGTTGCATCTCAATCCCTTGCGCCACCCGGGAGACCCCCTTAGGCCAGTTTTATCTCAATACAACCAAAGAACAGCAAAAGGTTTCTATAGAAAGTTGAGAATGCAGGTCCTCCCCGGAGGCGCAGTGGGTTGAGCTGAGAAGCTGTCCGCAGCCTCTGCAGCGTGGGTTCGATTCCTCGCTGGCCAGGGAGATTCCCGCATGACATGGCAGACCTCTCCTGTCTCATCCGCTGCTCCCCTCAGCAGTGTATTTCAGTAAATCTGCCTGTTCTGCTCTCCGCTCTGTCTCTGGTGACTCCTCTCACCCTCCCGCACCTCTGGTCTGCACCCCGGTTCTTGTATAAAAATAAATAAATCTTTAAAAAAATAATAAAATTAAATTTAAAAAAAAGTTGAGAACGGAGGGGACGCGGCTTCAAAGTATTAGTGCTTTCATCATCCTGACAGGTTTTTTTTTCAAAGACTTGCCTGGTCCTTGCCACCTGCTTCCATCTCTCCTTCATCTCTCTCTGTCCCTCCCTTCCCCTCTCGCCTCTAAAAGCCACTGTGATGCTTCAGTATATCAGGAATGAAAATGAAATCTCAAAAGCTACTAGTTACAAAGTCCTATTGTTTAGAAAGGGACAAGAATGAAACTTACTTGCACACTGTTGTTCACATTTGCTTTTTGAGTATTTTGTGGTTACTGTGATAGGATATTATGTCTCTAGTTCACAAAAATGAATCAATGGCTCACAAGAGGTCCTTCAAGAAGTAGTGATGAAAACGGTACCAGAAATCTTCAGACAAACACTAGAAACATATTGAATGAAACTCCCTTGAAATTAGGAGCGATGGCACTGCACATTCTAGGACAAATGAATTTCAGGGCAATGATTTTACACATGTAGCCACAAAATAAAATCATGAATGTAATTTCAGTGATAAGTACTTAAAATATCCTTTTATGGGACTGGCGGTCCATGAGTCCCTAGTCCTCAATATGTTACTATTAAGATTAAAACTTTGAAGAGGGCCTCCTGGTGGTGCAAGAGGTTAAGTTTCAGCACTATGAAGCTACCTGCAGCCATTGCAGCATGAGTTCGCTCCCCCGCCAGGGAGCTACCCCCATGGCGCAGCAGACCTCTCCTGTCTCCCCGCTGCTCCCCTCAGCAGTGTATTTCAGTCAGTCTGCCTGTTCTGCTCCCCACTCTGTCTCTGGTGAATCCTCTCACTCCCCCCACTCCTGGCCTGCACCCCAGCTCTTGTATGCATAAATAAATAAAGCAAATCTTATGAAAAAAATGGAAACTTTGAATAGCCATTTAAGCCCCCCCAAATCTTTTCTGTTCTCTTCCAAAGGAGCCACCAATCCAGTTTTTTCCCAGAACAAAATAACGCTTTCTGAAGCCGGGTTGACGATTCTCATTGCCAGAGGCACCCAGGAGACCAAAGCTACCGAGGCTTCACTGTAAGTTGTTCTCCGAACAAACGCACAGAAAATCAGTCACACGGTGACCAGGACGGCGGGAAGCCAGCTGCAAAAACAAAGCGGAGACGATGCTTGGAGGGAGGGGTGGGGCAGGGACGTGGACGAAGCTCCCCGGCAGCTCTCCCGGCCGGGCCCGCCGGGCCTCGAGGGCACACCCGCGGGACAGGCCAGGCGTGTGCACACCCGCGGGCGCCGCGCGAGCGGCAGGGCCTGGGCACTCGGGGCGGGGCCTGAGGAAAACGCTGCCCGGCTTGCGGTTTCGGCGCCTGCGCCAGCGCGATAAGAGGCGCGCGCCGGGACGGAGCCTGGGGAGGCGGGGGGTAGGGGGGCGGGGGGTGGGGGGGTGCGGGGGGGCGCCGGGACGGAGCCTGGGGGGGAGGGGGGGGGGGCGGGGGGCGCCGGGACGGAGCCTGGGGGAGGGGGGGCGGGGGCGCCGGGACGGAGCCTGGGGAGGCGGGGGGTAGGGGGGTGCGGGGGGCGCCGGGACGGAGCCTGGGGAGGCGGGGGGTAGGGGGGGCGGGGGGCCGGGACGGAGCCTGGGAGGCGGGGGGTGCGGGGGGCGCCGGGACGGAGCCTGGGGAGGCGGGGGGTAGGGGGGTGCGGGGGGTGCGGGGGGCGCCGGGACGGAGTCTGGGGAGGCGGGGGGTGCGGGGGTCGCCGGGACGGAGCCTGGGGAGGCGGGTGGTAGGGGGGCGCCGGGGCGGGGCCGCGCGCGCGGGAGAGGCGGCTCGGCGGCTCCCCCGGGCCCGACTCGGGGTCACGGAGGGCGACGTCAGGGGCGGAGGCCCCGACACGGCAGGGGAAGGGAACGCTTCTCGGGGGGCTTGGGGGAACCCAGCGGGCCGGGCCGGGCCCAGGTCGGCAGCCGCGGCCAGAGCGGCGGCCAGTTCCCGGAGGCCCGACGCTGCCCGGAGACGGCGAGACCACGCGCGGCGGCAGCCCCGGCTCCTCCCGCGGCAGGTGCCCCCCCCGGCCCCGCCCCCGCCCCCGCCCCCGCCCCCGCCCCGCCCCCGCCCCGCCGCCCCCGCCGCGCCCCCCCCCGCGCTGGCGTCTCCGCAGACGCGCCTCCCTGGGGCAGGGCCGCCGGCCCGGGCCTGGCTCCGCTGATTGGACGGACTCGGGTCACGTGGAGGCTTCTCAGCCAATCACGGCGCGCGGTGTGCCGGCGGCGGGCGTCAGGGTGGCTCCGCCCCTGCCCTCCCGGCCGAGCCCCGCCCCAGCCGGCGGGCGCCCGCGGGAGGCGGGGTGAGGGGGGCTCCCCGTGACCCGAAGCTCTGCTCAGTGCCCGTCGTGCCGTTTCACGTCATTCATAAAGCGCCGCCTTTTACTACAAATCGGCGGGCTCTGTGAGGCGAGCGCGGCCCCGCGCCGCACGGGCGGGCCTCGAGGAGCCAGTGCCCGAGCGCCCCGGCGCGTCCGCGGCCCCGAGCGCGGCGCCCGCAGCCGGGCCGACCCCCCGGAGCTCCTCGCCGGGCGCCGGCGGCCGCAGGAGACCGCTGGAGGCGCCGCGGGCTTCCCGCTCTGCCGTCGCGGCGAACGCGGCCCTGGCCGGCGGCCCCTCCCCGTTCTGGGCCCGCGGCCCCCGCAGCTCCTTCGCCCCCACCCGCGGCCGGGCTGCTCCGTGCGCACGGGGGCTCCATGCCCGTCCCCCGGGGAGCCGCAGGCCTCCTGCTCCTCCAGGTCCGGCGACTAAACCAAACCCGGGGGAACCGCCGCCCCCGGCTCTGACGCTCCAGAGGGGCGCGCCTGCCGGCGGGGTCGCCTCAGGTGTCCACGCGGGCGCCGGGGGCCCTGGAAGCCCGGGGAGCGCAGTCCGTGGAGCGGGGAGATGGCACCAAAGGGTGTGTCGGCTCAGTAGGTACTTCAAAAGCGAGCTACTCATGTTGTGGAGGACATCCGGACCCCCTTCAGAGGACAGCTTGTAGGGTGAACACGTGACGATCAGTTACCAATTAGTGACGAGCAGTTGACCAAGCAGACAACCAAGTGGACCACGTGTGATCAGGACAAGCCCCCGCAGACTCGGAGAAAACCCTTCTCTGGGGATGTGAGGCGAGAGCCTGACGGATCCAGAGCCGGCTGCACCTCTGGGGCTGAAGGAAGTCTGGGCGGCTGCCAAGCCGATTCACCCAGCAGCTGGAGAAAACACCTGCCTGCAGCTCAGACGGAGCCTCCCTCCGCATCACCTGAGCTGTCCCTTGTTCCCCTGCCAGGTCTTCCGTGGCTCCCCTAGTGACTGCTCTTGTTAGGAGTTACCCATTGCTCTTGCCGTCTAGAGCGGGAACATGAGATGAAAGAAAACCCTGGGTCCTGCTGAGACCTGAGTCCACCCTCTTCCCCTCAGACCTGAGCTCCTGTCTCCAACCCTGGTCAGCAACAGCTGCCATCACAAAATCAGCTTTCTAATCTTTCCTCATGGTCTCCAGGCCTCAAGTAAGATGCTTGCCTGGACTGAAGCCCATTTCCACCTGAGGGCACGAGTGTCTACCTCTTTGCTTAAGAAGGTAACTGCCAGAGGGAAAGTATGTCCTTCGGGCGTAGCAAGATCTGGGGTGACTCCTAGGCTCGCCATATAGGAGCCATGGGGTCTCACTCTGGAGGCTCAGCTCTATGAGCCTGATTCTTGATGGGGAAGTTTGTGATCAATCTCCCATGAGGTTAAATTAAAGAACCTGATAGCAAATGACCAACAGTTGGCTCTCAAATGTTAGCCCCTTTGTCCTTCTTTGGAGTAGGGATGAAAGCAAATTTATTCTGAGTGCTTAGCCCAGGCTCTCGCAACATCTTATCTGTTCAACCAGCACTGCTGGACTCCTACCAAGTACACTGGTGAGGTGATAAGGGAACCCAATATGGACCCCGTTTGGACCCCAAACTCCAGCAATTCCCAAACCTGTGTCTTGGTTCTCTTCTATAACATACCCTTGGAGGGAAATGGTGGGGCCATGGTGACTGTAAAACTTAGTGAATGAAGACCAAAAGAAAAAGTCTCATTTTCTCCTCCCTGAAAATGTCTCTCTAGCAGGATTCTCCAAGGGACTCAGTCTGTTTTTTTCTCTTCCTGTCTCTCACTTGATTCCCAATCCCTGGAGGGGTAAACAGGTGTCACCGCTGCTTCAGTGGAAAGGTGGAGTAACGATGCTCTAGTGACCCGAAGCTATTTTTCAGAACCATGGACAGCGCCAGAGGGCCCCTCCCGCCCCAACAGGTGAGTCCTATTAGCCCAAGGTCCCAGGGCTCTGTCCAAAGCCTCCCGCCTCTCCTAGGCTATCCCTGCTACCGCAGTTACTGGAGCTACACCAGGTTCATGTTGTAAACAGTCCTTCCCATTAGGACTGGAAGATGGAGCCAAAAAATGCCCAGGAACACTTCCCACTTGGGCGTTCCATCCGACTATCAGCTTCTAGGGAAAGTAGGTGTTATAGGTCTGGGCATTTGTGATTTGCCTGAGAGCAATTCCTAAGCCAAGTCAGTGTTTTTTCGGCTTTAAGCCTCCTACTAAGCCAGTCAAAGACTTTCGGCAGATAAGTGTAAGGGCAAGAGAAGCCCAAAGCAAGCCCTTTATGGGATACCTAGGAGGGCTGGACTCCCCTCCTGAGACTCTGCTTTTAAAACAATGGCTTCTCATAGCAACTCCTGATGACACGTCTCTTCTCACTCAAGACCTCGAGCCATGTCAAGTTTGGGCCACCCTGTATGCTCCCTCTCTAGCCCTTCTTTCCTGCTGTCTTAAACTCCAGCCCCTTAGATTTGCCATGGGGACTCACTTTTGATTTTTTTCTATCCTCTTGTTAAATCTGCAAAAAAAAAAAAAACAAACCACCTTTCAGCCTTTCTTTAGAAAATTTTCTAAATCAATCAGTAATCTATCATTTTTCCGGATCAAAACATATGTAGACTGGAGAATAAGGATTAAATCCTAGTGCAGACTTCCAGTTGAAGTACAATGGCCTAGGCATTCAGCCCCTTCTCAACGCCGGAGATTCCTTCAAGATGAAAGTAAAGAATAGAGAGGGAAAAATCTACCATTAAAAAGATAAAGAAGGGGGCCTCCCTGGTGGCACAGGCAGTTGAGCTCAGCACTATGAAGCTTTCCACAGCCTCTGCAGTGCCGGTTCGATCCACGCTGACCACAGAGCAACCCACATGGCACGGCAGACCTCTCCTGTCTCACCCGCTACTCCCCTCAGCATGTATTTTGGTCATTCTGCCTGTTCTTTTTTGCTGCTCTGTCTCTGGTGAATCCTTTCACCCTCCCGCACATCTGGCCTGTACCCTGGTTCTTGTATAAAATAATAATAAAAAAAGATAAAGGGACATCATAGAGAAGAAACTATCTGAAAGACTGAAGATACATGAAGAGAAAGCAGAGAGGCTTAGAGTCTGCACAGACAGAAACCAGCCCCACCACAAGCTCTTGGCCCAAGGACACTTGGCCCAGTGGAGTGCCAGGCCCGGGCTCACTCTGACTCTTGGCTGGGTCACCCCAGATCTGCAGCCCAGGAAGGCTGTGACCAGGGACTCCGCCACCCTCTGATGTGTTTGTGGGTGTGACTGGTGAACCCCAACCCAAGGTAACAGCAGAACAGTGACCGCCCAAATTGCCCCTATGAGATGGGGTCCAGACTGGAGGCTTGAAAGGCCCAGTAACTGAAAAACAATGGCCAGGGAAGGTGATGAAAAGGGAGGGCTAAGAGAGAGAGCGAGTCCTCTCAAAAATGAGTCTGCAAAACCATAATTTCCAAAACCTAGAAAGAAATCTAATGCTAAGAAAGGAAACCACTACAGATTAGCAGCCCTTTTTTTAAAATCAGCTATATTTCTTTTTTAAAAGATTTTATTTATTTATGCATACAAGAGCTGGGTATAGGCCAGAGGTATGGGGGTGGGGGTGGTGAGAGGATTCACCAGAGACAGAGTGGGGAACAGAACAGGTGGATCCACTGAAATACACTGCTGAGGGGAGCAGCGGGTGAGTCAGGAGAGGTCTGCTGCGCTATGTGGGTTGCTCCCTGGCCAGGGATCATACTCATGCTACAGTGGCTGCGGAAAGCTTCATAGGATGTGTCTTAACCCTTGCGCCACCAGGGAGGCCCTCAAGGGTCTTATAAGACTGAGACATTGGGCCTCCCTGGTGGCGCAGGTGGTTGAGTGCAGCACTGTGAAGCTGAATGCAGCCTCCTCTGCAGTGCAGGTTCAATTCCTAGCCAGCCGGGGACATACCCGCATGTCATGGCAGACCTCTCTCACCTGCTGTTTCCCTCAGCAGTGGACTTCAGTAGATCCACCTATTCTGCTCCCCACTCTGTCTCTGTTGAATCCTCTCACCCTCCCACACATCTAACCTGTACCCCAGTTCTTGTATAAATAAATAAATATAACCAAAAAAAAAAAAAAAAGACCGAGACATGAGGGTTAAAGTCAGAAAGGGGAGAGATGATACTGACACCAGAAGTGAGAGCGAGGTGCTGTGAAGATGGGGGAGGCGCCAGGAGCCAGGAATGCAGGTGGCTTCGAGATGCTAGAAAAGGCAAGGGCTTGGATTCTCCCCTTAGCACCTCTAGAAAGAACCAGCCTGGCTGACACCTAGATTTTAACCCAGTGAAAATGATTTTGGACTTCAGATCTCCAGATCTGAATAAATGCATGTGGTTTTAATCTACCAAATTTATGGTAATTTGTTACAATAGCAACAGAGAACTAATATTCCTAGTGGAACAGAGTTTCTCAATTTAAAAAATGAGATCCAAAATCCAAATGCAGCATGTGCATATGCACACGTGCACAAAGACACACACCCAGGCACACACATTACTGCATGTGCACACACACATTGCACTCACACAAACTAGTTTTCTTGGAATATAAATCATGATCTTCAACAAAAAAATTCAGCAGGTATATTAAAGATTATCAACACCCAATTAGTGACCTGAAGATGACACGCAGGAAATAATCGGAAACACGGAGAAGAAAGATTACCCTCCCCAGTGTAATTTATGAGGAAAAGGAGACTTAGCGGGCAAAACCAGGGGAACTAATGGACAAGTAATAGCTGTTCCAGATGGAAACAAAACAGAAACAGATGGGAAGAAATCGTAACTGAATACGGGGAGACATTTTCTCTGAGCTGAGAAAAATAAGTCTATTCACTGATTAAAAGACTCTCTTGAGTTCGGTCTGGACTGAAGAGTAAGCCTCACGCAAATCCCTCTCCTGGTAAAGTGTGGATCTTGGAGGGTAAAAGAAAATCCCCTGGGCGTCCGGACAGAGCAGCCTGAGGATGGAGCCGTGTGCACGTGTGTGTGAGTGTATGCGTGTGCATGTGTGTGTCTGTGTGTGTTTTAACTGTTTTTTTCTTCTCCCTCTCCCTTGCCAGGACGACTTTATGTAAATTTTGCTGGAGGTTAACTTCCATACGTAGGTCACAGAATATTCCAGCAGGACTGGGGCAGGATTTGAGAAGTTACTCGCGGTGCCCGGGGTGGACATCTGCCTGGCGGGACTCTGTTTCTCATTTTGGGGAGAAACTGGGGATGTTTTTATTTGCATCCTGTTGAATGGAAACATGGCGTTGCTCTCTTGTGTGAAAGTCAGATTCTGCACGACGGTAACAAGTGTTGAGGTGCCCGGGGTGGACTCTGCGCCCCTGAAGGGTCACCGGGCAGGGCAGCCCTCACCCCGCTGCTGCCCTCAGCTTGGCGGGGCGAGCCCGCGGCCGCCTCCGCGGGCGCCAGGTCGGACCCCGCCGGCAGGGGGCGCGCGGGGAGCACCAGGAGGCGGGAGGGAGCGAGGACCCGGCTTCTCGCGCCCCGGCAGGTCGTCCCCCGAGGCCGCGGCCACCTCAGCCTCCCAGCCCCCTGCACACGCGCGCGCGCGCGCGCACACACACACACACACACACACACGCGGCCCGGAGACACCCGCACTGGGTAGCGCGGCCCCTCCGCGGAAGTCTGGTTTCCACCCCAGGGGCCTTCCCGCCCGCTGGGGGCACAGGCAGCCCGGCTGTCTCTCTCTCTTTTTTTTTAAGATTTTATTTATTTATTTTTGCATAAAAGAAGCCGGTGCAGGCCTGAGTGGGGGGTTGGGGGAGAAGATCCACCAGAGACAGAGTGGGGAGCAGGACAGGCGGATCTGCTGAAATGCACTGCTGAGGGGAGCAGCTCCCTGGCCGGGGATTGAACTCAGGCCACAGTGGCTGGGGATAGCTTGATAGCGCTGACTTTAACCCCTGCACCACCAAGAAGGCCAGGAATTAAATAATTTTTAAACTTGTCTAAACTTACAGACAACAGACTTGAGCCTAAAACCAAGATATTGAAAGTCAAAATAGAAAGAAGATGAAGCAGCCAGGAACTAGTAATTGCTGTGCAGGGTTCATTACTTTTTTTTTTTTTTTAAGAATTATTTTTATTTTATTTATACAAGCACTGGGTACAGTCAGAAGCGCGGGAGGGTGAGAGAATTCACCAGAGCCAGAGCGGGAAGCAGAGCAGGCAGAAGGACCGAAGTACACTGCTGAGGGGAGCAGCGGGCGGCAGGAGAGGTCTGCACGCCATGTGGGACCCCCGCCCGTGGCCGGGGATTGAACCGGCGCTGCAGAGGCTGCGGGCAGCTTCGCAGACCAGCGCTCAACCACACTGTGCCACCGGGGAGGCCCTCATTACTTTTTTACATATGTAGATACGAAAATTCTCATAGTATCAAACTTACAAAGAGAGCAAGGTCAATTTAAAACTTAACAGGGGGCCTCCCCGGTGGCGCAGTGGTTGAGTGCTGGGTTGCGAAGCTGCCTGCGGCCTCTGAGGCGCCAGTTCGATCCCCGGCCACCGGAGGAGGGTCCCACATGGCGCGCAGACCTCTCCTGCCGCCCGCTGCTCCCCTCAGCAGTGTGCTTGGGTCCTTCTGCCTGCTCTGCTCCCCGCTCTGGCTCTGGTGAATTCTCTCATCCTCCCGCGCTTCTGACTGTACCCAGTGCTTGTATAAATAAATAAATAAATCTTAAAAATAAAATAAAACTTTACAGGTAAGATAAAATAGAGAAAAGGTATTGGTTAGAATATATACGATAAATTGCAGGGTAGCCCCTGAGAGAATAAATACAATTAGTATAATTTCCAAATCAGCAAAGAGAAAAAAGAACTAAGAAAAATCTTTATCTATTCAAGAGTACATAAGACAGAAAGTTTTTAAAAAAGTAAAAAA